CCAGCCAGCCAGCCGAGGACACACGTTCCCAAGAGAGCGTGAGCGTCTCGGGCACCTCGATGCTTCCCCCCATGCTACCCACGGTGACCAGCGAGCCCGGGAGAGCGACGGCAGAGCGGGGAGCCGGTACCTGGATGAGGTTGGGGTAGAGCCCAGCCATGAGGACCCCCTTGATGAGCTCTTCCTCTTCACTGTACTGGTTACACACAGACGAGGGCATGGTACAGTCGGACGGGGACGACACCAGGAAGGCTTCGTAGAGGTTCTCGGAGAACTGCTTGACGAGGCCTACAGGGAGGAGACAGCCCCAGGGGATGAGATTCGCCTTCTCCTCACCCCACGGAAGGAAACCACGTCAGCAGGGCAGCCCCAGCTCCGGCCTCGGCACTGGGCCAGGAGGCCTGTGCTGCCTGCGGCCTCCCACGCACCCAGGGCTACACCAGCAGTGGGGAGAGCCAACGCCAGAACCCGCGTCCACTCCAGCAGTCACCTGCCCCACCTACCCCATTCCCACACCACAATCTTCACCAGAGCTTCAGCCTCTTCGGGGGACAGAGGCCGCGGACTCACCGTTGATGAAGCGAAGGCTGGGGCCGTACAGGTAGTAGTCCTGCAGGTAGTTATCCCTGGCGCGACTGTCTCTGCGTCTCAGCACCTCCTCCCAGCCCGCCACGGCTCGGACAAACGCGAGGTGGTCGCTCCCGCTCTCCCGGCTCAGAACAGCCTTGGCCTGGGAGACAGAGACACGGGCATCAGCCCCTTCCCCGCCTGCTTTCCACCTTCCTCTAGGTCACAGAATCCCAGCATGGCAGGGGTTGGAAGGGACCTCTGTGGCTCATCTAGTCCAACCTCCAGCCAAAGCAGGGTCACCCAGAGCAGGCTGCACAGGCTCCTCACCTTGTCCACCTCCGCGCGGTTCTGCAGGCTGCTGCTGAAGGGGTCCCGGGTGAGGCAGGAAACGATGACGAGCAGAGGGTGGAGGCAACGGTAGATGGATGCCAAGACAATGGCCTTCGCCAGCCGAGGATCCGGGGAG